AATCGGGGTTAAAACTTGCAGCAATAGTTGAACCACCCCTAAAATTGCAAAAAACACCCCTAACTAGGGGTTTCTTCGACTGTACTTGTTGTTTTGCAAACTAAGCCATCTCATATGTTTTTTGGGACGCTGATGACGAAAATCGGGGTTAAAACTTTCAGCAATGGTTGGACCACCCCTATTTAGTTTTTTTTGCAATTTTGGGGGTGTTTTTTGCAATTTTAGGGGTGGTTCAGCCATTGCTGCAAGTCCCCAAAATACGTAGGGGACAAGTGGTCTCGTCAAGTGCGGCGTTTCTTGACCTTTTACCGTTATTTTAAAGGGATTACTATACTTCGACTTTCAAATCTGAAGAGTTCTTTGTATTTGCGCAGTCCGATTTCCCTACGAACACTGTAAATTTTACATTTACGGATGAGTATAAATTAAGCCGTTTTTGAAAACAAACCATTAATTTGAAACTGTTATCGTAGAAAAATCTAGACAAAGTGAAGTGTGCCCACGATCACACTTACAGATCTGTTAGCAAAAGCTATAAAAAAAAACCACCTGAAGTTTTTATTCACCTCAATATTTAAGCAAAAGATAGAGATGAGGAAAAATGTAGAACTATATAGCCTTAGCACATGCTAACTAAGTTTATTCACTCCAAATCTAGTATTTGCTTATAATTAGTCTAGTTTTACCAAATACTTGGTTTTATTCACACCACCCATTATCTATAACTATCAAAAAATAAATAATAAGTAAATTTTTGATTTATGCGCATCTCGGGCGTCGCAACTCGAGCGGAATACTTAATTTTTCGCATTTCGGGCGTAAGGCTACAGGTAGATTAAATACCCTTCGCAACTCGGGCGTTCAAGGATTAGTACCAATATTATAGTAATATAATGAATGTCATCTCTTTAGTTTAACCTGAGAAGGTGCTTTCGGCTTAAACTTAAAATTATATACGGAGTGAAGTACAAGAGAAGCTTGCCAGTTTTTAAATATTATGTAACTTTCATAAAACAAGATTTTTTATTTATCTTTCTCTGCGAAAATAGTCTTTACATTACATTGTTATGACATTTGAAATTGTCGTTTTTATTGAAAAAAGTATAATTTAATTTTTATATAATAATTAGATTGATAAATAATAGTGTACCTACCTCGGCTAGCTATTTAATTTTTATTTTAATACATTTTTTATGTACAGCGTGTCTGTGTAAGTTGGCTACATATAGAAAACTTTTTTTTATTAGTTTATTTATCAAAAAAAATGTATCGAACTTTACAACATGTCTTAATATTTCGAGTGTACTTCGCAAGTCAGTTTTTCCGTTTTGTGACGAAAGTCTAATTTATTTTTAGTTTATTTATTTAAAAACACACTATTTTCAATTTATTTCAGACGTACTATTTAATTTATATAATAATAACTAACAATTCTAATTTATTTCTTACACTTTAACTTTCCAATTCAATATTCTATATTAAAACTGTCTATAATCAACTGACCGCCATCTTCACACACGCGATATTTATATCAAGCCAACTCTGTAACCAGAGTAATCCCGATGGTCGGAAAAATTCCAATTCTGACTCAACGGCACACTCCGTCCGTTCTACCCGTTTCTCTAGCCTCAGAGATATTCCCAAAATATTCCATCGCCTCTAGCATTAATCGGCTGCCCAAACGTGAAGTCCGCGTGCTTAGACAAAGTCGGACTTATTAATTTCATGACAGTTTGTTAAGTCTTCCACGATGGCATTTATTTGTCGGTCGAGATTACTGTATTTTGTGGCTCTTTTATTTAACTATATTTTAATATTATATTTAAACGTTATGTAACTAAAAGTTAATCATTTTGTTAAATATATATAATATGTAAAAGATTAATGTATTTCAACCTTTTTAACGTTTGGTTAATAATCTACACCAAATATCTACGTTATTTTAATATTAATTATTCTAGTTTATTTTAATATTCTTTTTAAATATTATTATGTAATTGTGGTTCACCCGAAAGTTGGATATTAAGATAGATACACGTTTAATATTAGCGTTTCTTTAAATTACACAAAACTCGTAATAAAAACGTTATTGTATCGAAACACTTTGACGTTTTGTTTATATTTTACCTAAAAATATTAATTATTCTACTTTATTGCAATCATATTTTTAAACATTTTCATTGACTATACTTAGAATATTAAGTTTGTTATGTTATAAATGGCCAAGATTAGAAAAATTTCTCATTTGTAAGAAGAGAAAGAAGATGGGTTATGTTGTAGTCATTTTATTTTTAGTAATATAATTTTATTTTAGAGACAACCATGTATTCTAAATAATTGGAAGTTTGCGTCTGTTGTTGGATACATTTCTGAAATATCAGTATGTTATATTTCTGATAGGTTTCAAATTATTATTTATAAAATATATGAAATATTACATTTACAGGATATTTTTACATTTTAGGAATGTTTTAGAAATGTTTCTAAGGCGTTTCGTAATATTTATATATTATTTTATCATATTCATGATTTCCTTAAAATGGTCCGTATTCGAAAATTTTGACAAAAAGTGCAAAATTCGAATTTTGCACTTACAATGTAATTCTCTATAATTTTTGTTCCATACATTTCTCTAAAATAAACTGAATTCTGGAAATTTGAGATAAAGTGCAAAATTTGAATTTTTCTCATTATTTTCACTTATAATACCACTAGTGACCAAATTATTTCCGGAAATATTTTAGAAATCGCGAATAATTTGAAAATGATCCCGATATCATGCTCTATATTTTTTATTCTACACATGATTTCTCTAAAATAAACCGTAATGGAAAAATCTTCAATTTTTTTACATCAACTAATTTTTCAATTCTCGCTATCTGTTAAAATCAAAGCTTGTTCTGCGATGTCATTCATTTCTCTTAAATTTTCGATAATTCATTACTACCTGAATCAGATTGTAATCAGAATCAGGGTACATAAACTATGGTCAAATTTCATATCCCGTCGACGCCCGAGTTGCGAACTCACAGGTGCACAATTTTGGAGGGCGCCCGAGTTGCGACAAATTCAGGTAGTTTTATATTACGCCCGAGTTGCTAACGCACGTGTTGAGAAAGTTCCAAATTTTTAGGTATAAAACAATATTTCCTATATTTCTATAATATTAACAATCCACTAATGCTCTAGTAGGCGGCGTATACCAATTAATTACTTTTCCAAATGATGACGTAGCTGTGTTCTTCTAATTGTAATCGGACCGAACTCAATATTTAGTCTTGAAATAAAAGATCAAGACATTTACACTATGTTAATTTAACAGCTGTAAAAAACGTTATTTTAATAATTGTTTTAATTTCTAACTTTAGACAAAATAAATTAACATTAAAAATGATCAAGAATCAGCAATAATTATTACTGTATAGGTACCTAAATCTTAAACAAATATGACGACAGAATAGTTCAAACTGCGACTATTACTCATAAATTAACAGCACAAAACAAACAACATAATTTTGTTGCAAAAACTTTAAGTAGGTATGCCAACTTTAATAGGAAATTTACAAAACAAATAAATATCCGTACAAACAGCTTATTTTGTTTTATTACGTCTGTAATCTCGAAACAAAACAATAACTAATTTCAGATAAAATGAAATTTTTTAACCGATATATTTCGTTATTGCTAATCGATATTCTTTGTCTGGTTTGTTTTGTTATCTAGGTCGTTATCCGTTTTTTTTTCTGTCTAAATCATCGACCGACTCGCTTAGCGACGAACAATCGAATTTGCAATTTTTTCTGATCTTAATCTTGAAATATCGATTAAATCTTAGTGGGGGTCCAGTCGGGAAAAAGTAGAAACTTTAGCTGTTACAGTTATCCGAAATGTAACAAATTAAATTAATATTAAACAATTTATTGTGGGATTTAGAAACCTTTTGAAAATCACCATCTTTTAATTTAAAGCTTCTATTCATAATGTATAACGTTTTTGGAACTTCTAGAGATCCTAAACCATATTTACATTTAAAAATGTCCTTGGAAAACTCGCACTATTGCCCAAGTAAGAATGTGCAATAAATTTGTACTTAAATTTAATAATAATGGGACGTCGTATGTTATTGAACCTTGCGAGATACGTACTGTAGGCTGAGCCGAAATACACATATTTTTAAAAAATATTAAAATTAAGTTTGCAATACCTATCAAAAATTGCGTTTTGCTGTGCTTACTTTTTGTAATTTTTTTAAAATTTCTAAATCCACATTTTCAGCTCTCTAGGAGTGAAAAGGTAAATTTTGAAATTTTGACGTACAAATACCTACTGAAAGTTACATTTTAGTGTTTGTATTCACACTCTTTATTTTTAATATTTTTAAAATATCATATTCAGCTCTCTACTACCCCTTTTAACCAATGTTTAGTCCTTTTGTTTTTAAAAGATAAGGCACAAATTACTTGATCAACAAATAAATATTACAGGATTAACACTAAACAACACATTTATTTAAAAAATGGTAAAATGTATCTAAAGAAATCAAACCTAAAAAGCTAACAAATAAAACAAAAGATTACAAATTACTTTCAAATGTTGGTATATAGTCTAATCAACAAGTTCAAAAGCGTGTTTTTGGGACATACTATTACGAAAATTATGGAGGTACAGTTCCGGGAGTTAAAACTTATTTATAGCAAATTTCCTCCTCTTTAAGGATCTTTTTTGAAAAATCCAACAATATTTATAGTTTACAAACTATATGCGAAAAACCAAACACCATGTTTTTGAGGTGTTTAATTGTTTATAACTTTTGCAATTTTTTATGCACTGCAAAATTTTTCTTCACACATTGATCTAGATATTATTCCAAATCGAATGAGCTATTGAACATAATTTTCGTAATAGTATGTCCCAAAAACACGCTTTTGAACTTGTTGATTAGACTAATAATTTCTATTGATTTTATTCTTGAGCGAATAAATTTCTTTTGATTTTATTCTTTAACGAATAAAGCTGTCTCTTGATTCTGGACCAATAAATAAAGATAACTCTTCAACTAATTTTACGCATCTTTCCACGGATTGAGTAGGACAAGGGAACTTCGGAAAATCAAAGTCTGGAATTTCGATTTCATTTGTAAGGTCTCTAAGATTATCATCAGTAAAATCCCTTAAACCAGGAGGCGGTGTCACATCGCACTCATTCCAGTAAATTAACTCAAAGTAGTCTGTAGCACTGAAATTATTTTCTGGTACCACAAAGTGTCTTACTTCAACGGTTTCTCGACTGGTTTTTCTAGCTTTTAAGATTCTTCGTAAAGGTAGTTCCCGAACCCATTCACGAGTGTCTGTTAGCATACACAAAATAATGTTTTCGGGGTGTATAAAATACGCGTTTCTTTGGATTAACGTATCCACAATACTTTTTAAATCATCTCTTAAATACTGTGACAGTTCAATCGTTTTAAATACATGCAAACTACCACTAGTGCAACTGAAATTTAGTTTAATATTAAATCACATTGGGGCAAACACTTTAATTATGAATTCGGCCATATCCGAAGGGCTTGATGTTGGCTTTTTCTCAGGATTACGGTGTGCTAAATTTTATGAAAAATTGATAGTGCTTTGTAAATGTCATATAAATATGATTGATTGGCAACTTACATTTTATTGGGGTAAAGTTTACAATTTTAGAATGTTCACATTTTTCTAAAGACTTCACGATTTCACCAGAATATTGACGAGGTCCCACTGTGCTGCGGCGAAATTATAAATGTTATGTAACCTACGAAATGAACTTGGTGATTCCACCAAAATTTTTAAACTTAAAAAAAAATTTATTAAAGTATTAACTACAATTAAAATGTTGTCTACTACGGTTACACAAGTTTCGGTTGTTCCGGTGTCAACCTTCGGGCCTTCGACGTCGCTCAGACGGCAGCTAGGGGGTGGATAGCTTACAATAATTCCGGAAATAGTAGACAAATGAGTAGGCGCCAACTAAGTCTATATAGTGGCCAAACTATGATCCTATTTCCCCAAAAACCCAGTAAATGAGGAAAGAAATAAAAGACAAACCTCAACTTATGTTCCTTTATAAAGAAAAAAATATTTACTAAATATACAGACTAATTACCTAATGGCTTAGGTAATCAAAAAAAAATTGGAGGAAATTAAAGCGAAAATTTACATTGTATATGTATATGCATAACCCAAAATAAATTATTAAATCAAAATATGGCACGGTTCGTCGTTAGCTTGGTACCAGGCATGACGCTTGCGCAAAATATTAATTTCCACCTTACATAAAAAAATAAAATATAAAATAATAGTTAACTTAAATATTGTGCATAACCGCACCTATACTACATCGTATATTATAAACTAAACAGTAAACTTGGAATCCTTATAAGCTTATAACCCTCTCCAAATTGGAAGGCGATATCTGCTTAACTTTTAGTTAAGACCAAACTACCCAAAAGAAAATTATTAAACCATGAAATTTTATAGTTAAGTATAATTCATAGAACTAAATAAAAATATAAAAAAAATAAAATAAAAATACAACATATAAAGGACTTTAGACACAGAGGTTATTTACTTAAACTCCCAGATTGGAAGAGGTTACTTAATCTCTGCCCCCACACGGGTCTTCTGAGATTGCTTAACTTAATCGTTAAGTCTGGACCATTTAATAATGAATAAATTGAATAAAGTAAAATTATGGCAGTAGCCCTTAATAACTGAAGAATTACAACTTAAACGTGGAAGCAGTCCAAGTGTTCTGCGACCCGAAGGATTACTACATCAGCATTAAGTGCTTAAATTAAGTAAACATTTAAAATATTAATCAATTAAACGATGTAACATTTGATAATAATTAAGTTATGAGTGAAAGAACCCTAGAACATTCTGTGCTCAAAAGTATAAATAATGTTGAGAATACCTTGACAACATTCGGTTGAAAGTGAATGTATAGTTTAACAATGCACGCATGAAACCTTCAATATAATGTATAAGAAAAACCTGATAGTAGGGTGTCTTCTTTCACAGCATTCCCATCTTCCTATCCAGAACGAGAAACATCATTGTAAATCTAGCTACAAGTAAGCTAGGCGGCTAGCATACCAATGTTCTGTGTTCCCTCGATGAGTCCACAATGAAACCGTTGAACTCCGGACGATATAACCCTCTGTGTACAACTGTTGAAATCCTGGGCCAACAACCCCCTGGGTGAAACTGTCGTCTAAACCTGGGCTAACAACCCCCTGTGTGAAACTGTCGTCGAATCCTGGGCTAACAACCCCCTGGGTGAAACTGTCGACGAATCTTGGGCTAACAAGCCCCTGGGTGAAACTGTCGACGAATCTTGGGCTAACAAGCCCCTGGGTGAAACTGTCGACGAATCTTGGGCTAGCAAGCCCCTGGGTGAAACCCTTTTTCGTAAAGAGTTAACTTGGTAGCCTTCCAAGGATGAGAAACACGTGAGATGATCCACAGCACAACAATATTCCACACTCCAAATGCTGTGAACTTCCGATTATTGCGTTAAAATCCTATATTAGATATGGGCTGGACCAATGACCATAGGAATTTACCAATACACTAAAATTCCTCTCAAAATACGAAATGTCCATTTGCCCACAATTAACCATGAAGTAGAATCTAAAATCCCCTTTAATTAGGGTAAGCCGATGGGGCTAAATATTAAGAAAATTCTACTTCGACACAAAAATCGTCTTTTTCGTTACTCAACACCCACTGACAGAAACCATACGTCAGCCGTCTAAAATGGCCGAAATCCCTTTCCGATAAATTTCAAGCCAAGTGGGTTCAGAAATTCATCCTCAAGAATTCCCCACTATATAACTTAAGAGACCATTTACGAAAGGTACCCTAAAAACTATATTTATATACAGTATAACTACATTTGGGAAACTGTTCCCGACAAAAATTAATACAACAGCGATCGCCAAAAAATCCCTCACGACTGAAAATCGCTCATTGTGAAACTACCTTACCTCGGGTTCTGAGCCCGATATTGGAACGTACTACAAACATGACACTTGTCGGTGTTCTGTCGTCAAATGACGTTTATGTCATTCACTGTCATAATTAATAAACATTAATCCAATTCTGACAGCTATAAACAAAAATAAAGAAAATCTTAAAGAATGGTATCGTAAATAATTAATTACCCAAAGGTGAGACTATAATACATAATATGTATAAATTTACAACGAAACTTGGTCTATTTTTAGGAGAATCTGGCAAATTAAAACAGTGAACACTACACTGGAAATATGACCATTGTACAAAGTATTATACTAGTGGTGAGATGAAATAAATTGTAATAATGATGTCCAAAAGTTAGAATACAGGTGAAATTAGTTAATGACAAAAATAATAGTGATATCATCAATACGATTTTACCCTTTTTTTTTCGTATGATTAACCAGGTAAGCCAAAACAATTTTATTAATTCGTGGGGCCAAAAATGAACGTTACAGTTAGACATTTGTGCCCATAAAAGAAGTTGCGTATTTTTTTGTTGGCTCTCAAATAAAATAAGTCCCGCGGCGAAATCTGCCATAATTTTTCGGGAATTCGCAGGAAACCGGAAGGCGTAGTTTTTTTTTATAATTTTTTTCCTATATGATTTTCTCCGGGTTTTCCGAAAACATCTAACAAAAAATATATTTGAAAAAACTAACTTCCGCATCGGAAAGAGCACAAAAAATACACAAAAAGGTATACTTTAAAAATGTTAGGAAATTAATCCTAAGCCTGAGTGTAAGTTCCAACTTGGTGTTAAGCTTGTTTTTTGTTCTCTTACATCTGGTTTTTAGTTATTTTCAAGAAAACTTGAAATGGCAGAAGATATATATGCATGACAAAAATACGTATTTATATAAGTTAGGTGGCGAAATCTGCAATACTTTTTGAAAAAATTGCAAAATAATTGTTTCTTGAAAAAAAAGACACGAAACACTGTGGCATATATATTTTTTCTAGCATCCACTGTTTTCTGAGCGCACGTGTGCAAAGATCGGTAATTCTCGCGAGAATTGAAGCTACCCGAATTTTCTCGAGAAAAGGGGCGTTTTCTGGCAATTGGGAGAGAAATTAAGCTTGTTTCTCATTAAACTTACTCATTCTTATATATTTTCAGTCTGTAAAGTGCCCAAATTACGGAAAAAATCGACAGTGTGCTTGTTTTTTTCTCGAAAAAAAAAAAAGGGAAAATGTTGGATTTAAGAGAAAACCACTTGTTTTACGAGCAATTTTCTAAGTACAAAAAATGCGTAGTTTTCGGTTATATTTCGAATGTCATAGGTCCCATTGCAAATCTGCAATAGTTCGCGAAAACGTGGCCAAATTTTTTTTGAAATGTTTTCCCTTCCCAATTTTTTCTCTTTCCTTAAATGAATCTACAGGTCATTGTTCGACTCAACTAAATTTCTCATCATTTAAAAGAACACAGTGATATAATTTTCTTAATTTAGGAACGTACTTATTCAATAAATTGCTGAAGAAGTCCGAAAAATCACGTGTGCACAGAGCTTGCTGAATACGGTTATTAAAAATCTATGCCTATGAACACTATCAAGCGATTGAATTTGTAATAATATGACCGTTTGAAGTTTAAACTTGTCGGATAGCGAATGCCGAGACCATGGCTATCCTTGATGCGACGTGCGGCTAATTTTGCGGTAATTCTATATTTTGCATAAAAGTCAAGAAACGTCTTATAACAAGTTAGTAAAATACAATTTAATAAATTTTAAGCCTAATAAATTTAGGTATGTAAGAAATTTAAAACTGCAAATCGCAAAAAAATCAAATTACAGAAATGCAGTGTATAAAGGAGTTTTGGATCCCGCGTAGCGCGTGTAATGGGACTTTTGTCGGGAGAATTCTACAACTTAGAAGAAACATACACACTTTAAACTTTGTATACACATTCAAAAGACATGAAATTTGGGTTTGCTTGATTTTCAGACCAAAAAACTGAAAATCGTCAATTTTAGGCAACTTTTCTCAAAAACCGTGTTTTTTGGTCGTCACTCAATGAACAGTGGTCAAAAAAATAGATAAAATACTTTTGCAGAATTTTTTGTAATGTAATCATATTCTAGACACAATAAAGTACTCAAAAAAAAGTTTTAAGCCATTGGGTGCATTTTTGGCATTTTTGTGCCACTTCAAACTTTCGAAAAAAAATTTAGTTTTTTTTAGGGAAAAAAATTTGTTTAATTGTTTGATATCTTGGCCAATCATAGTCCAATTTCGGTGAAATTCATACACACATAAGATTTTACATTCAAGAGTAAGCTCTGTAAGTGGCATTAAAAAAGTTTAAATAGTTTGGCCGTTATAGGCAAACAATGACATTAGGCCCGCGGTACACTTTGCTCTTCCGCCATATGCCCAATTTTGGGATTTCTCTTGCCCCCTTCTGGGAATCAATAGTCACATACCTTAAATTCA